ACCCTTTCCAAAAGATAGAGAATTCTAGATTCTGATACACTAAAATGCCACATAATACATTCTATACAATAATATAATCTGTGCCAAATTTTGATTATAATAAGTTTTATATCTGTGATTGTTCAGCCAAGCATAATTTGGGTTAATTGGTATAGAACTAGTATTGATTTTGGCCAGAAGTATCACATTCTTGCTGCTGGCAAAATAAATTGTTCTTGGGTACAACTTCTATGCTTGGCCTTTGTTATGATATCTAGGTCTCTATTAGTTGTTTTGGTATGGCATCCTATCAAGTTCTACTTAGTTACCTTTTAAGATAATTTTCTTCAATCTACACTATTATGTGCATTTTCATCGTTTGATTTTATTATGACGGTTGGAAGTCCACTTCTTAAAATGGTATCAAAGTCATTGTTAATAGTCTATCCTAGCGAGGTTTGTCTTTATTAGGCATATTGTTCCATCTGCTATCCGATCATATATTAATGTCAAGTCTCGCGTTCGAGATGCATATACCTTGATGTGAAGGATGTGTTTGAAGTCCCACATCAACTAGATATAAGAACAATTTAGAGTATATAAGTGGGTGCAAACCCCATCTTACAAACCGATTTTGTAGGATTGAGTTATGTTTAAAGTCTATTTTTTAATAATGACTATATACATTGAATTTGCAGTCAAATTGGTGACTATCATTACACCTTGATACAGGTTTTGTTGGCCACAGGAGGAGGGCATTTGGTTTACCTTGAAATTGGAGATGGAATATTGCATGAAGTAAAACATGCCCAACTGGAGTATGAGATTTCATGTTTAGACATCAATCCCATTGGTGAAAACCCCAATCATAGTCATCTTGCAGCTGTTGGAATGTGGACAGACATAAGTGTTAGGGTTTTTTCTCTTCCTGATCTGAATCTCGTCACAAAGGAACAGCTAGGAGGGGAAATCATACCTCGTTCTGTTCTTCTTTGTGCTTTTGAAGGGGTAGGCTTTTCTTGTGTTATTTTTTCATGTGCTTTTATAGTTTTTTTATTCTGTTATTCTGCTTAGTTTTTGTTTCTGAATACCATGAAATGCTCACCTCTTTTAAGTTCAATCTTTGGAGTAGAGATTTTGGATTTTACATGTAGCCATTGTGAGGGATATACTAGATCAGCAACACTAATATCTTTTTGTAATGATGTCCTTCAAGGATTAATTTAGGAATTGCTAAACTACCAATTCACAAGTTTAATTGCAGTTACCTTGTTAAAAATATCTTATTAAAGTGTTACTTTTTAAATTTTATTCTCCAGATATCTTACTTGCTATGTGCCCTTGGTGATGGACATCTCTTAAACTTCATGCTGAACACAAATACTGGCGAGTTAACAGATAGGAAAAAGGTATCTCTTGGGACACAGCCCATTACACTACGGACGTTCTCCTCCAAGAATACTACCCATGTATTTGCTGCATCTGATCGGCCGACTGTGATCTATAGTAGTAACAAAAAATTACTTTATAGTAATGTAAATCTGAAGGAAGTGAGTCATATGTGTCCTTTCAATTCTGCTGCTTTTCCAGACAGGTATCTTGGTCCTTCATTAGTTTGGCTTCCTAATATTATTGACATATCTGCCTTGTGCTGTTCTTGTATCTTGTATTTTACATTAATGTAAAGGTTATGGTACTCATTACACTCTGTTCTTAACTTCCAACAGTTTGGCAATTGCGAAAGAAGGTGAGCTTACTATTGGCACCATTGATGACATACAAAAACTACATATACGCTCCATTCCGCTTGGAGAGCATGCTCGGCGTATCTGCCACCAGGAGCAATCTAGGACTTTTGCTATTTGTAGTTTGAAATACAACCCAACGGGTGGTGAAGACTCTGAAATGCACTTTGTCCGTTTACTGGATGACCAGACTTTTGAGTTCATATCAACTTATTCTCTTGACACATATGAGTATGGTTGCTTTATAATTAGCTGCTCATTCTCAGATGATAATAATGTTTATTACTGTGTTGGAACTGCTTATGTGTTGCCAGAGGAAAATGAACCAACAAAAGTAAGTTGATAAATTTGTATTTTTTCCATCATTGTTCTAGTAAAAGCTTCTAATTCCTGCTTACTTTTCCCATTTTAAAACATGTAGGGTAGAATTCTTGTTTTTACTGTTGAAGATGGAAAACTACAGCTAATTGCTGAGAAGGAGACAAAAGGAGCTGTTTATTGCTTGAATGCATTTAATGGTAAATTACTTGCTGCTATTAATCAAAAAATCCAGCTGTACAAGTGGGTGCTACGTGATGATGGAACCCACGAATTGCAGTCTGAATGTGGACATCATGGACACATCCTAGCTCTTTATGTGCAAACTAGAGGAGATTTTATTGTAGTAGGTGATCTGATGAAGTCAATTTCCTTGTTAATCTATAAGGTAAGCTTCTAAATTGTCTTGAAGCGGAAGTTCATTGTCTCAAATGCTAACCTTTCCAATCCTGTCTTTTTTTTGGTTAATTTTATATGTTGTGACTCAAATTTATATCTGGTTTTGTCAAATTTTAAACTGTTGTGCTGCTTATAGTTTTGAATGAATACCGGATTTCTCTGAGCATGTTCTTTTGTAATGGTAAATTGTTCTTTATTGTTAGCATGAAGAAGGTGCTATTGAGGAAAGAGCTCGTGACTACAATGCAAATTGGATGTCGGCTGTTGAAATCCTTGACGATGACATTTACCTTGGTGCAGAAAATAATTTTAATCTGTTCACTGTTCGGAAAAATAGTGAAGGTGCTACTGACGAAGAGCGGGGTCGTCTTGAAGTGGTTGGTGAGTATCACCTTGGAGAATTTATTAATCGGTTCCGGCATGGCTCCCTCGTTATGCGCTTGCCAGATTCTGATGTTGGGCAGATTCCAACAGTTATCTTTGGTACCATTAATGGTGTTATTGGGGTAATTGCTTCTCTTCCGCACGAGCAATATGTTTTCTTGGAGAAACTTCAGTCAAATTTGAGGAAGGTAATTAAAGGTGTTGGAGGACTCAGCCATGAGCAATGGAGGTCGTTTAACAATGAGAAGAAAACTGTTGAAGCCAGAAACTTTTTGGATGGAGATTTGATTGAATCATTTCTGGATCTCAACCGCAGTAGGATGGATGAAATTTCCAAGGCAATGGATGTTTCTGTAGAGGAGTTATGCAAAAGAGTGGAAGAGTTGACCAGGTTGCACTGAGTTTGTTTTTTTTTTTTTTTCTCAATTAGCATCCTTCTTCCTTTTTAATTTTTCAGGGTATGGGTGAGGGCTATAGTATTATATGATATTTTGTACCCCATGCTCACCTTCGTTTGTGTTTTGCAATGAATGAATCACAATTGGTGTATGATATGAATGCCATGTTCTGAGGCATAATAGCGTTTTCTTTTCTAAATTTTGTAAAACACCATCGATTTCCTAATATTTGCTTATTTATTTATATGTTAAAGTTCTGTAAATCACGCAAAAACAAAGTCTGGTCAGACGTCCAATATTAGTATGTATTGTAGCGCTGCTCTTTTGAAGTTTTGGTTGAATAACAAAATCGTCATGCCAAAGACTTTCTAGACAAAAGTTTGGTCATTGAAAATTGAAGTATAGGGCCGACAGCTACACGTTTCTAAAGAAAAGGTATATAATTACATTAACATTTTCAGTTTAATTACAATAACCCTCTCGTTACTTTTCAAGATTTTTCTTTTTTTGTCAAAACGGAAGATACGAACAAGATTATCTGTAGTGTTTGTGAATTTGAATTGAAAAGAAAACTTTGAAAGTCTTCTGTAATTGCAGGGATAGAGATGCGTAATTAATGTATTCGTATTTAGCATTAACGAGACTTTGAAAGTTTCCTGCCGCACATAATATATAATATAATGAAAAACTTTCACTTCGACATAAAGAAAAAATTCATTATTCGAATTGTCTTTCAGAAAGAGTATTTAGTCATAGCTTCTGAGTCAAATTTTTAAATCCCATAAAAATTGATACCAAATTTCTTTTACAGTGAACTGAATTGTTCAGTATTACGTGCATCTAGTCATAGCTTTTGAGCTAAATTTGTAATTCCCATAAAAATTGATACCAAAAATTTCTTACAGTGAATTGAATTGTAGCTTTTTATGTCTTAAATATATCCCATGTCAGTAATCTTCTAACGAGATTGAGCTGTACCCTTATTCCAGAATATTGCATCTAATCCTAAAATGACCCTCCTTGTTAAGATGATAGCATTGCTGATATGCTTGGTTGTTGACAGAACTTCATAAATAAGGTAGCAGAAGGAGGTGGCTGAACAGTAGTAATATCTAAACATCCTCTCTATGCCATATTTAAGATTCTCACGAATCGAAGCCACACTAAGACAGTGGCCAAATAGAAATTACCACATTCACATATATCGGCAAGGGCTTTGTAGAGGGCTATCTGAATCATAATCATAAAACATGGAATCTGATTTATCCTTAGAACTAATCTGGTTAGTTTTATCAGAAATGCAAACCTCGTTTCTCAAACCATCCACCGAATTAGTATCTCTGTTTCTTCTGTATACACCCCTACTCCTATCCAACAGCCCTTTCTTCATTAGGCTTGCGAATCCCTCTCTAATTTGTAGGAGGGGATGATTCTGCACAGGTTCTTGACCGTAATAGGCCTCCCTGAGAACAACTGTTTGGGTGTCACTCTTCTTGGAAATATAAAATATACCAGGATGACGTTCAAACGCTTTAGTAAACTTCTGCGGCAGTGACAGGGGTCTACGCAAGTTGCTGACATTCTTGCGCTCAGTTTGTTTATGAAGTGTAAGGTGAAGGAGCTCATGGAAGACTCCAACAATTCTTTTCTCAGAAACATCAGTGCGGGGATCCAAATGAGAGGCATCGGCATAAGGTGAAGTATATGGGAGTTTCTGCCACTCTTTCAGCCACTCCATGCATTTTCTTTTCAAACCAAAACCCCTGGTAAAACTAACTGGAAATGCTAACGATCCATTTTTTATGTCTTCTCCCTTTTGCTGTAGAGAACTATTCTTCTGTAACTCTGAGATGGAAAGCTTGTCATCCCAAAATAACAATTTCAACCCAACACGATCATCAGGAAGGCGAACATATGCGAATCTTTCAGGGTGATTTGGAATAAAAGAACGCTGGTAATCATATGGTAAACCCAAATCCCATTTTAACTGGTCAATGGTTTGTAGTGGAAGGATCCTATGAGCCGTGAGCATAAGCAATTTGCACAGCCTATCCCTAAGTTCCAATTGACTTTGCTGAAGGATGCTGACTTCCCGGTGGTGAAGCTCCAAGGCTTCAGGACTCAGACTGAACCATGGGACAGGAGAACCTCCACTATCAAGAAAACAGGACTCAACAAATATATTCGGATATCTTCTTATAAAGGTAGAGAGTTTGAGGTCACTGGGAAGACCAAGTTGTCCACGGTAGGGAGAAAGATGGTATATTGGAAGGCAGCATTGGGAAGAAGAATGAATTATGGAGACAAGGATCCCAGTTGCCTTAACATCCCTTTGACCAGCAACAACAGCATCCAATGTCCTATCTTTTACCCATTTCAATTTTATGTTCACCAAACTAAACTTCTGCTGGTAAATGTATCCTTGTCGATAACCATAACCGTGAACAAAACCAGAATTTCTTCCAATACCAAATACCCCACGGAACATAATATAAACTGATCATGGACAGTATAAGTAGCACACAGAGATTCCCTATGGACTTGTAGTTGTCAAAATCCACACTTTGCTCCAAGAAAAGCTACTGCATAAGTAAAACGTAGATTTAAGACAATTTAAACAAAGAAAGATTCTCCTACCACTAGAAAGACAGTATTCGACACAAAATGAAACTTGATACTAAAAGTTCTATCAAACTTGCAAACCAGATTTAAATTCAAATTGCCAACAAATATAATATTTTATCAAATCCTGATCAACAACTTAAAAGCTAGGTTGGATAAACATAGAGGTTTCTTTGCATCGTTTGAGCAGAAAAAAAAGGTTTGGAATATAAGGTTTAACTTTCCAAGGCAATGAATATAAGGTCTCCACTATTTTGTCTTTGCAGTTTTTTCCTTTCATAAGCCAGTATCTGACATACTAGACAGAAAAAATGTTCAACTAGTTCAAACAAGAGGTACTTATCACACACCTTAGGAAGAAACACTCAAGATCTTGGTTAGCTTGATTACTTCTAATAATCCTCCAATTAACTTACCAACATTGGACCCCATAGTTCACTTCCCTAACTGGAATACTGGAATAATCCTCCCCTGGGTATAAGAACTACAATTCCTTGAACATTATACATATCAATTATATAAAAAATTAAGTTCTAAGCAAATAAAAATAAAATGCATAAAAATAGACATGACATGTTACTGGAATACTGTGATTTACTTACCAACATTGGAACCCCATAGTTCACTACCCTAACACAAAACCAAAGAAAGAAGAGCATAGTAACAGAGAAAAATAATCAGTTTTGTTGAAGAAGATATAGAAATCCATCGATGGCAACAACAATTCAGAACCAATTCAACTTAAAGCATCACCAGTTCAGATAATCACAAGTGAAAAGAGTTCAGAAAATGCAAATATACTTACAAATCCAGATTTTCAAGACTCAACACTAATTTTCATGGGTCAAAAGTTTTAACATTGATTAATATTCACATATTTTCATTGATACTGTGCACATCGCTGGACAGATAAAATCAGAAGTTCAAAGATAAGGGGAGTTCATCAGTTTCTTAATTAAGGAGGTAGAGTCTGAAGCAGCTTGTAACCACATCTTCAATCATCCAGGTTAATGGCAGTTAAAGGTTTGCTTTCCAGAAAAAAACTGTTTTAGAGCAATATGTTTTAGTAGGTACGTTTTTAATTACCCAACTCACTATACTAACAACTCATTATGAATTTATTTATTTTTTTCGCATTTGCAGAGTAATAATCCTTACATTGGCCTGTACATTCTAAAGTTATTTTTCTTTCATAAAAGAATCAATTACAATTTGGTGCATTAAAAGTGTATCTATCTGTTATTTTAGGTAAATTATGCACTTGGAGCACTTTATTATATCTGTAACGATTTTAACAAAGAGAAGATTTTAAAGCCCGAAGTTATTGACATCATTAGAAGGTATGCAGCCGCCGAAGATGTTAGTGAGTTTGAATAATCTGGCTAAACCTTTTCTGAATAAACATCTACCAGGGAACGAGTGAGAGACAGAATTTAAACTTTTTTGCTCACATCTATCAGGGTTGAATTTGAGTATTGGTATCATTGTAAATTCGAATGGTGGTGTCGAATTTAAGAAATGGACATGATTTCATAATCACATTTATCAAAACAAAATTTCATAGAACATAGATTTAAGGAAAGCACACAGAGAGGCAGAGGGAGAAAGAGGCAAGCTCGAACACAATAATCGAATCACTGCTTACCTCGACAGTCAGTACGGACAGCGAGCACGGCAGGGTCCCTCTACGGTGGCAGAGGCCGTGTCACGATAGGGCCAGGGCAGGGTCACCGTGGGTTTTCGTTGGAGCTCTTTTTCGACGACAACGGTGGGCAGCGTCACGGCAGGGTTAGGGCAGGATCACCGTGGGTTTTCGTTGGAGCTCTCCTTCGACGACAGGGTCACGGTGGGCAGCGGCCGCGTCACGGCAAGGATAGAGCAGGGTCACCGTGCGTTTAAGTTGGAGCTCTCATTTACTCGATTCACGTTTTAGGAATAACTGACACGAGGGAGTGATGAAGAAGCCACTGATTCAGTTCTCAAACAAAGACTGAAAATTTGAAACTGAACTAAAAAATAGTATATTTAATTTTTAGTAAAAATAAATTAATTTTTGAGTATAATTGTATAATTAATTATAATTTAATATAGTTAAGTTTCTTTTCCAACCTTAACTAAAATAAGAAATCAGTTTCCTAGAAGCACAAAAACAAAACCACATGTTTATGAGCTAATCATCATGGTATGATATCATGAGCTTTCAGAAACATGAAGATACTTTGACAATATTTTAACATCATTTACGTGTCATTCTGTGATTGATCCATGTTAGTGTTTATGATTATTATTATTGATTGTGAAGTAATTTTAGACCTATCACACAATGACACGTAGATGATATTAAAATATTGTCAAAAAAATGTTGTCAAAATATCATTATCCATCTTCAAATCACTACAATCAATTAGAAGAGCCGACAAATGCAAGATTATCGAGATCGCGAGTGAACTCAAACCTAGTTAACTCACACATAGTAGAATCACTTCTACGTAGGCTCGTCTGAACTCGATCAGACACGTGTAAATCGAGTTTAGAGTACGCCAGAAAATGCCAAAAAAAATAAAAATTGTTTGTTTGTAGGTAACGATTTATGCATGTACCGNAATTAACTTACCAACATTGGACCCCATAGTTCACTTCCCTAACTGGAATACTGGAATAATCCTCCCCTGGGTATAAGAACTACAATTCCTTGAACATTATACATATCAATTATATAAAAAATTAAGTTCTAAGCAAATAAAAATAAAATGCATAAAAATAGACATGACATGTTACTGGAATACTGTGATTTACTTACCAACATTGGAACCCCATAGTTCACTACCCTAACACAAAACCAAAGAAAGAAGAGCATAGTAACAGAGAAAAATAATCAGTTTTGTTGAAGAAGATATAGAAATCCATCGATGGCAACAACAATTCAGAACCAATTCAACTTAAAGCATCACCAGTTCAGATAATCACAAGTGAAAAGAGTTCAGAAAATGCAAATATACTTACAAATCCAGATTTTCAAGACTCAACACTAATTTTCATGGGTCAAAAGTTTTAACATTGATTAATATTCACATATTTTCATTGATACTGTGCACATCGCTGGACAGATAAAATCAGAAGTTCAAAGATAAGGGGAGTTCATCAGTTTCTTAATTAAGGAGGTAGAGTCTGAAGCAGCTTGTAACCACATCTTCAATCATCCAGGTTAATGGCAGTTAAAGGTTTGCTTTCCAGAAAAAAACTGTTTTAGAGCAATATGTTTTAGTAGGTACGTTTTTAATTACCCAACTCACTATACTAACAACTCATTATGAATTTATTTATTTTTTTCGCATTTGCAGAGTAATAATCCTTACATTGGCCTGTACATTCTAAAGTTATTTTTCTTTCATAAAAGAATCAATTACAATTTGGTGCATTAAAAGTGTATCTATCTGTTATTTTAGGTAAATTATGCACTTGGAGCACTTTATTATATCTGTAACGATTTTAACAAAGAGAAGATTTTAAAGCCCGAAGTTATTGACATCATTAGAAGGTATGCAGCCGCCGAAGATGTTAGTGAGTTTGAATAATCTGGCTAAACCTTTTCTGAATAAACATCTACCAGGGAACGAGTGAGAGACAGAATTTAAACTTTTTTGCTCACATCTATCAGGGTTGAATTTGAGTATTGGTATCATTGTAAATTCGAATGGTGGTGTCGAATTTAAGAAATGGACATGATTTCATAATCACATTTATCAAAACAAAATTTCACAGAACATAGATTTAAGGAAAGCACACAGAGAGGCAGAGGGAGAAAGAGGCAAGCTCGAACACAATAATCGAATCACTGCTTACCTCGACAGTCAGTACGGACAGCGAGCACGGCAGGGTCCCTCTACGGTGGCAGAGGCCATGTCACGATAGGGCCAGGGCAGGGTCACCGTGGGTTTTCGTTGGAGCTCTTTTTCGACGACAACGGTGGGCAGCGTCACGGCAGGGTTAGGGCAGGATCACCGTGGGTTTTCGTTGGAGCTCTCCTTCGACGACAGGGTCACGGTGGGCAGCGGCCGCGTCACGGCAAGGATAGAGCAGGGTCACCGTGCGTTTAAGTTGGAGCTCTCATTTACTCGATTCACGTTTTAGGAATAACTGACACGAGGGAGTGATGAAGAAGCCACTGATTCAGTTCTCAAACAAAGACTGAAAATTTGAAACTGAACTAAAAAATAGTATATTTAATTTTTAGTAAAAATAAATTAATTTTTGAGTATAATTGTATAATTAATTATAATTTAATATAGTTAAGTTTCTTTTCCAACCTTAACTAAAATAAGAAATCAGTTTCCTAGAAGCACAAAAACAAAACCACATGTTTATGAGCTAATCATCATGGTATGATATCATGAGCTTTCAGAAACATGAAGATACTTTGACAATATTTTAACATCATTTACGTGTCATTCTGTGATTGATCCATGTTAGTGTTTATGATTATTATTATTGATTGTGAAGTAATTTTAGACCTATCACACAATGACACGTAGATGATATTAAAATATTGTCAAAAAAATGTTGTCAAAATATCATTATCCATCTTCAAATCACTACAATCAATTAGAAGAGCCGACAAATGCAAGATTATCGAGATCGCGAGTGAACTCAAACCTAGTTAACTCACACATAGTAGAATCACTTCTACGTAGGCTCGTCTGAACTCGATCAGACACGTGTAAATCGAGTTTAGAGTACGCCAGAAAATGCCAAAAAAAATAAAAATTGTTTGTTTGTAGGTAACGATTTATGCATGTACCGTACGCACTCCCGGTCACCATCTAGGTCAATCACTCAGGCCCAATCACCAGGCCGACCACTAGGCTGATGACCAAGGTCGATCGTATGGTCGACCATTATGCCGATGACCTAGGCCAACCACCTGGCCGACCATCTAGGTCGACCACTAAACCAAGTGGCTGACCACTCATTAGGCCGACCGATTACTTACGTCGACCACCTAAGCCGACCACATGGTTTAATTATAAACGATAATGACTCATTAAGCCCCTAAAGCAGATTAAAGTGTAATTGGACTGTCATTAGGCCAACGAAAGGTAAAGGCCCATTACGACTAGTATAAATGAAGGTCTCAGGTATGACTTTGGGATCACGATGCACAATATACATACATTACTTGCTTTGCCAACCGTTGGGTTACATTACTAACTTGAGCGTCGGAGTGCCTTTGACAGGTGTCCACTCACACGGCTTGACCAAAGAGGAGGGATAACGAACAACGTAACTTGGAGGAAGGAGGACAACCAAGGAGTCCGTCTGCCCTACGTGCCAACTAGAAGACCACTAGGTAACTCGTCCGGCCTTCGAGACAATTTGGAGTGCTTTGAGTGTGGGACTTCAACTCTATGTCCGAAACATTTTGGAGTCCACCGTGGGGTCGAGCGAATATCCCCTCAGCCATAAGGAACTAATAAGTGATGCTTTAAAGGACATCAATTGCTCTGCCATCCGGCCTCAACCATCTGGCCTCAGTCATCCGGCCTCAACCATCCGACCTCAAGCATCTGGCCCCGGCCATCCGATCTCGGTCATCCGGCCTCCCATGACCTCAGTCCTCCGGTCATACCTTGACCTTTCAGGTATTTTCTCAAGCTTGGCCTCATAGGTATTCAACCATTTGGCCCCAAGTGTTAAGAATCAGTCGTCCAACCATACATTGGCCTCAACTTCTTGGCCTCTAATGGCCTCAGTCGTCCGGTCATACCTTGACCTTTCAGGTATTTTCTCAAGCTTGGCCTCATAGGTATTCAACCATTTGGCCCCAAGTGTTAAGAATCAGTCGTCCAACCATACATTGGCCTCAACTTCTTGGCCTCTAATGGCCTCAGTCGTCCGGTCATACCTTGACCTTTCAGGTATTTTCTCAAACTTGGCCTTACAGGTGTTCAACCATTTGGCCCCAAGTATTGGCCTCAATCGTCCGGCGATACCCTGACCTCAACTTCCCAGCTTCCCATGGCCTCAGTCGTCCGACCATACCTTGACCTTAACTTCCCGACAACCATGGCCTTAGTCGTCCGGTCATACCTTGACCTCTTAAGTACTTTCTCAAACTTGGCCTCACAAGTATTCAACCATTTGGCCTCATAGGAAGTCAACCATTCGGCCTTTCGGCCTAACAGCGAAATTGTGAACGAAGAAAAACGAAACCGAACGAAAAACTAGTCAGCATAAACCCAAGTTGATGAACGAAGTGTTCCGAAAGGAATCACTATCAACTTGGCCAGATGGTGAACGACGACTTCCGAAAGGAACCACTACCGTCCGGTACGAACAACGCCCAAGTTGATGAACAGAGAGTTCCGAAAGGAACCACTGTCGAGTTGACCGGGCGGTGAACAACAAGTTCTTAATGAACACTACCGCTTGAGGTAGCCGTGGATCTTCACCAGAGGAATCCCGGCCAGCCACTAGGTAGTTCGTCTGACCTTTGAGACAATCTAGAGTGCTTTGAGTATGAGATTTCACCTATGTCCGAAACGATGCCGAACAGAGCTGGGTAACATTTCGGTGCTTCACTTCCGTTTCTATCCCTTTTGTGTGTTGATGCATCTTTCTCAGTTATTTTTTCTATTTTGTGTTAGTGGGTTGGGTATTTTTAGAAGTTGGGCCTCACTTTAAGTCCAATGTCTTCTTCTTCTCTTTTTCTATGTAAAACACCCACACACAACACACACACACACACTATATATAATATATATATATATAATATATATATATATCAATCAATTAAAAAATTATAAAAGAATTTAAAAATAACATATAATATGATAAACTAATAATAATAAATACTAATTTTTATTGGTCTATATGTTGTGCTGATTTTTTTTCTTTTGTAAACATTAAACTAATTGATATTGATATATTAAAACACCTGTTAAAATATTTAAAATATCAGTAAAAA